ATGGCAATAGCCAGGACATGGGAACAAAAACATGTGAGTCTTTCAGCCAGGCTTCTGAGGTTCCAGAAAAAGCCACAGGTATGGCAGTTGAACTAACCACCTTAGTACCGGAGCATTTTGTTAATTTTTGCACACATACTACAATCTGAATTTTTGGATAGAAAATAACTTGAAACCTGTTAAACAAGGTATATATTTTCTGAAAGGAGAGGCACTGCAGTATAAAAAAAAAATATGGCAGGTGCATTTTTTTATGTTGCACAATTTTTGCACAAATGTTTATCAAATCAATAGTAGATTGTCGTGAGGGACAAGTCGATTGGGCCCCTGCTTTAGTCCTTGGACAATTTTAAATACTATAGTTTTTCCAGTCGTGTGGAAATTTTAAACGGCTTGTCCATCGATGAAAGCCTTTACTGCTGATCAGTTTAGCATTAACTATGGCCCTAGAATTATTGCTCTTACTCCGACGTTCATGGTGATGCCCAACATGAGGTGCAATCGTGGTTTAGGTACACTTGCATTCCCTACTCATGCTTGTTCATTCGCATGCAGATGGCAGGGGAGGAGGAGTTGGTTTTAATTTTTTATTTTTTTCCATTTAACTTTATTGCTATCACACAAGGCCTAACAAGCCCCTATGTAATAGTGTTTTTTGGAGGTGACCGGTTCTCGTCATAAACCCATCTGGAATCTTAGACCCCTGAGGTCTCTCCTGCCCTCCAATACAGACTATCAAGCACAGGAAAGTGCTTGATTGTCTGTTTACCTGGGACTTCAGCCCTGAAGCAGGAAGCACTGTGAGCACAGAGCTCCCTGCTTCATTGAACTGACATTCCTAAGTCTGCTTCCACTCTCTATCCTAATTGCATTTGTCCTGGTCCCAGGTCCCCTAAAAGAGTGGGGCATCCCAAAAACCGTGGGTTGCTAAGTGATCTGGGGGGCTGTACAGAAGGAGCATCGCCTGCTGTGATCTGGGGGGCTGTACAGAAGGAGCATCGCCTGCTGTGATCTGGGGGGCTGTAAAAATGTGAACTTGGCTTTTAAATCCCAGCTGTCGTTTCCTCCTAAAGTATAGAAATAGTTGGTTTTGAATCAAAATGGGAAAGGTTTGTGTCTTACTGTTTTGTTTTATTTCAAAAAATATCAGCAGCAAGCTCTCATTGTCAGCAGGATTGTGCAGCCAAATAATGCTGTGCTCTGAGGGCACCAGTTTCTATACAGAAGTCTGATACCTTCCCTAGCATAATATGATTAGTAGTGCGCAGATTTTCAGGAAAACATGACCAGTTGTTGCAGGCTTAGAGCAGGTTGGACAACATAGCTTTTGAAGAAGGTGATCAGTCTTGTCTATGGTTAGCAGCAGGTTTTCATCCATGTCCCCACTACCACCATTACCATCAAGCAACATCTAGACCCTTTATAACTGGTGTTTGTTTCCCGTCTCTTTTTAGGCAGCCTTTCCAATAAATACATGTCTCAGGGAAAAGCCTCTCAGAGGAGGACACAGCAGGAATCCTAAAGGAGGAGGCACACTGCCACAGATTTAAGCCGTCCAGGTGTATGCCTTTCTACTTGGAATGAAGTTTACGTTAAGATCAACTCTAGTCATGGAACAGCAGCAATGAAATAACATTGGACACGATTAATAAATGGTTACTTTTTGTTTTAACCTCCGTATGACAAAGTTAAAACGTAATAGCGTTTTGTGTTTTAATTCTCTTATCATGGGCACCTTTTTTTTCTTAATTTATTTTTAATATTTTAACTGACTGCCACATAATGGACAGTTATACTATTCTGTAATGAATTCATGGTGCCCCTTTCTGCCCATGCCATTTTAATTGTAGCGCAGCTATCTTATATGGATTACCAATTGAGATTCCTACTTTTCTTTTTCTGAAAAATATTTTTGAAAGGTAAATTATATTTATTGTCAGGAATCCTTGTATAAAATTGTTTAAAAAAAATTTGAACAGCTGCTGTATTTACAAACATGATTTTATTATAATTACTGTGCATAGCTTAATTATGAGTCACTTCTGCAAATATGTTAACAAAAATTCAGCAGGGTTTGTTAGGTTTTAGTTTTATTTGTGTTTTTAATCCCCTAGTCCCCTTCTGCTGTAGGGTTTCCAATGCTATATGCTCATCTCTGGATTGGGGCTTGTTCTACATTATATAGCTCTGTGGGTACATAGTTCTAAAGCGGTGTTGCTTGGCAAATGCAGCAAAGCCACAATGTGGTTTGCGTTTCTAAACTTTGAAATTGCAAGACGTATAGACACTTCATTCACCTTTTAACACATGATGTAACCACGGATGGGTACAGATCTATTTTTGTGGTGTGCTGTGTTTAGAGCCCCATAACACACGTATACATCATATTGTCCAAACAGTAAGAGAAGACTGATGAAACCAGTCTTGCAATGTGACTGCATTATTGGCATGGTGTAGACACTATATAAGTGTATATACCCTTACACTATGTGGTTTAGTGGATGGGAACTCTAGAATAATGTAAAACTTGGGAAAACTGCCCTGGAGAGAATAAAAATGTAATTAAAAAAAAAAAAAAAACTTAAAAGGCACAATGGTAAAGTGTTGTTCTAATACCAGTACTTCCTTTATTGCACCTGATCTTCACCCTTTTGCAGATCTACAGCCGCAGTTAGGATCTTTAGCATCTGACACTGGATGGAAGTTCCTGTGCAGGGAGACAACATTCTACATATGTTGGTTTCTGAGGTTCTTGGAGGCAGCTGTAGCAATGCCAGAGATTGAACATCTGCTCTAAAGAGATGTATGACTTGGTATTCGCACTGCACTGAACTATTGTATATATTTTTTTTTGACAGGATCTCTTTTTAAAGAGCATGAAAGATTAAAAGTCCCACCTCAGCCAAACCTAGCATGACTGAGCCTTTTTTTTGTCATACCCCACTGAATATTAAATTGTTTAAAAATGATTAGACAGGACCTATGGACAGTTTTCACTTCCTTGCCTGGTTTGAGTCTTTAGTATGACCACAGGACTAATTTTCAAGGCTTGGTTGTATCAAAGTGTCCAACGGAAATAATAATCAGGTAGTCTGTGATTGGAATACAAGAAAGCACCTAACTAGCTGCTATGCAGTGACGGACTGAGACCGTTCTTCCTGCAAGCTTTAATAGGTGACTCAACATTGCTGTTTCATAATCCCAATTGCACTTGATTGAACAAAATTGGCTTATGTAAAATGGTTTACAATGGAAGCAATAGAAATGTAAAAGGACTCTGAACTGTTTTCTAGGAATATAGTGTTTACAAAAGGCTAAAATTTATATGTCCAGTAAAACTGGTACTTTAGTGACCTACATGCAGAGATCTATACCATGTTTACAAAATTACTTGGTCAGTTTTGTTTGAGGTTTCTTAAAGCCTATTATTTTAGTATTCCTTACAGATGCTGAACTTCTGGAAATGCCACGTCTTAAGTAGGGCAGTGCATAACATGGTAGATCTTCCCAAAATGTTTTAGTCTGCTCAGCAAAAATTAGTATTCTTTAGTTAATGCTGGTTACTATAAATGTGCATTGCTGTTTCTTGTAAAATGCATTTCTTACCGGCCCCATACTCCCGAAAAGTGTATTGAACAGTAATCACCAGTGGCCTTAAAAGTTGATCACACGACACCCCAATTTTTGTCCCTTTTTTTTCTTGGGGAAGTAAGCCAGTTTACAAATGTACTTATTTTTTCCGGTTTTATTCATTCTTTTAGGTAATGTAAATCAATCTTTGCAATATATTTGTGGAGTTTGTCTTATTACTTAGAATGGAAAGCAGTTTGAAATGTGTCTGGGTATCAAAAAACTGATTAAAATCTTTGTGCTTCCTTGTACATCTTTTTGTATTTTCATTCTGATGTATTTATACTTTGAAAAATGCTAAATTCAAAATCTTTATAAGAATATACAATCTGAAGCAGGAGTGGCAGTGCACACACATTTACGGGAGTAATAACAGTGGTGCGGTTTAGCTAGAATTACCAATGCAGTCCCTCTTTTGTCAATCCTGTCAGTCATTGTTGAGGAACAGCCTTGTATAGGCTTTAGTACCCAGGCTGGGATGGAAATGTATAGATCGGCCATACAATTCTGACCACTGAGAGGTGAAGTGATTAACATTGATTATCTCATTGCAATGGCACCTGTAAGTGGGTGGGTATATTAGGCAGCAAGTGAACATGTCCCCGACTATGTGTTGGAAGCAGAAAAAAAAAATGGGCAAGCATAAAGCTTTGAGTGACTTTGACGAGGGCCGAATTGTGATGACAACACAAACTGTAGGTCTTGTGTGATGAGGTCGGGTCCTACCAAAAGTGGTCCATGAAAGAAAAAATGGTGAATGGGTGGCCAAGACTCACGATGCACATGGGGAGCGAAGGCTGGCCCATATAGTCTGATCCAATAGAGCTACTGTAGCTCAAATTGCTGAAAAAGTTAATGCTGGTTCCGATAGAAAGGTGTCTGAATGTCCAGTGCAGTTTGTTGCGTATGGTGCTCCATAGCCACAGACCGGTCAGGGTGCCCATGCTGACCCAGAGCCTACAATGGTCAAGTGAACATCAGAACTGGACCATGGAGCAATGGTATAAGGTGGCCTGATCTGATGAACCATGCTTTCTTTTACATGTGGATAACCAGGTGCAAGTGTGTCTCTTACCTGGGGAAGAGATGGCACCAGGATGCACTATGGGAAGAAGGCAAGCCAGTGTGATGCTTTGGGTAATGTTCTGTTGGGAAACTTTTGGGTTCTGCCATTCATGTGGAAGTTGCTTTGACACGTACCACCTACCTAAAAATGTTTGCTAACCAAGTACACCACATAATGGAAACGGTATTCCTGGATGGCAGTGGCCTCTTAGCAGGATGATGTGCCCTGCCACTACCCTGCATTTGGAGGAGTAGCCTGTGGTCGCCAGCCTTTTGTCTTTTTAAGAGTTCCTTGAGATGCAAAGACCTTTCTAATACACCAAACCTAAATTAGGGATGTCCCAATACCACTTTTTCATGTACAAGTACTGTCCCTCATGTACTTGCCGATACCAATTACCAATACTTTTTCTTAAAGGGACTTGTGGCATTTTTTTCTAAAACAATACAGACTAATGATTTTAGGGCAGTTTCTCACCAGGGCTGCGTGCATTGGAGGTGACATTAGGGGTCTTTCAGACCTAGTGTCACCTTTCCACTTCACTGGATTCACTTAATGTAAATGCAGCAGGCAGTGGCTGGGAGGAATAGCCAGCCTGCTATTGGATATTTTAAATTGCAATAGCAGGCTGGCTATTGTTACAAGTGTCTATTCATTTTCCACTTGATGAAACTGCTTTTGGTGATATATCTCCGTGTCAGCTGTCCGTGCTCCTTATGTGTTTTAATAATGCATTCACCAGGCGCACACAAGTTTTCCCTCTCAATGAAAAAAGGCAAGGTCCGTTCTGTGAAGGCAAGATTAACAGCTTCCCTCCTCTCCTCCCCGTGACCACACAAAACAGACATTCTCTTTCATTGAGAGTGAAAACTTCTGTGTATGTCGGGTGATGAATGCATTACTAAAACAAATAAGGAGCATGGACATCTCACACATTGTGATATATCGCCAAAAGCAAACCGTTTCATCAAGATGTAAAGGAGGGGGACATAGAAGGACGGAGGAGCAGTAGTGGAGGTACAAGGGGGGGGGGGGGGGGTGGGGGAATTCAGAGACCCAGCCGTGATGCTCGTCCGTTTACACTCGGTTACCCATAGACTTGCATAGAGCGTCCTATCGGGTCCGGCTGAAAAACTGACACGTACACGATCGGACTGCTCATGTTAAAGGGGCCTAAGGATTCTACTGACCGGTAGCTGTCATCTCGCCTAAATTGCTGGTTCAACTTGTCAGGTTCTGTCCTGTGTTAGCAGTGACTTTAATCTGTCAAACTGGCAGAATGAGTGGGATCCCTCAAAAAGAATCTCTCCACCACTGGGGGTAGACCCCTGCCTAGTTGAGCATGTGCAACAATTGTCTTGAGCTGTATGCTTAAGTTGCGATGGCTTGCTAAACTTATCCTCTTATGGGTCTGATTAGCCATAAACCTTTGCAGGGAAACTCACTGGTTACTGGGATGCTGACACCACATCAAGAAAACATCTGCTTTGTCTGGCCTTGGAGGGCTATTGCCTCTTTGGCCCTACGCTTGATACTGAGATGTGATTGGGAGGCCAGAGCTACTTCTGCCTCAACATAGGAGGCCTAGGGGGAGGTTGGAGCATTCCCACCGTTCTTTCATTTATGTCTGCAATAGGTGCCCGCAAGCCCCTGGGAACCTTTTTGGCTGTCCAGAAGTCAGACTCTTAAGTCGGAGGTTGGCTATCCCCCCCTCCCCCTCTTGAAAAGCCTCGTGCATGAAGGTGCACTTGTAAAAGTGGGAGGCTGAGTGTGCCTCCTGGCAGTCCTTTGGTAGCTTTTCTCTCTGGTATTCAGGCGCATAGAGCACCCTATTATGCCCATGGGCTAGTCCCTTGCATCTGTTACCCCCTTCAGTTGCTTCTTTATCTTCTCTGTGCTACTGCACCGAATAATGCACCTGCCCCCGTCTCCCCGGTTTAATCCTACCCATGGACCTCTTGCTTCAGCCCTTGTGTTAGCGAGTTTTCTAGAGCTGCGCCCCATTCCCTTCCATATTGCCTGTCCTCGGGGACATGAAAAACCCTTCATGCTACTGGGTATCCTTCAGCACCGCTCTTCTGCGGGACCCGCTGATCAACTGAGTGCAGCTTTGACAGTCTCCTACTTGGGTTTTCTGTGTTGCTCAGAAACACCTGCTACTTCTTGGAGCATTGGCTCTTGTATTCAGTCTGTCTTTTCCTACCATTGC